CGAATTCTTGCTATAAAACAGCAGGTTTACCAAGCCCAGTGATCTTCTCCCTTAATGCACCCTACTGTGTATGTCGGCACCTTTTGGACCCCTTCATGTAGCCACCGTGAGACCTCATGGGGAAGCGCAAGGGGAACTGATGTAAACACGCCCATGCTCATGCCGCTTGCTGTGCTGCGAGTAATAAAGTCCATTTTCTCTGACTCCAGAATCTCATGGCATCGGCGAGCATCCATGAAACGGTAACAGGCTAATGTATTGGCTTGCAACAGGGTAAAATCAAATACCAGGCTGACAGAGTGGAGAACAAAAACTCTGCAGTCAGGAAGTTGCGTGCTAAATGACAATGAAAATGGATATTTCCTGAAAATTTGGAGAAGGACAAGGGTGGAATAGGGATTTGAATAAATCTTATTTCAATTTTAAGAAGCAGAGAGACTTCAGCTGATATCTAGGTAATAATTTGCTGTTTTATGATTTGTAGCCACTTTTTTTTTTTACAGCATACGCATACATCATTTATTTCACAATTACTCTGTGTTCATATCAAAGAAATATGTGCATCACTTCCGTAGCCAGAAATAAACCTATTAATATACTGTTAAGCCTAAGGGGGTGTTATGGATGAATTGCATCCCTCCCAAATTCATACATTGAAACTCTAACTCCTAATGTGACAGTATTTGAAGACAGGACCTTTAAGGAGGTAATTAAGGTAAAAAGGGGTCATAAAAGTGGGACCCTAATCTGATAGGACTGATGTCCATAAAATAAGAGAGAGAGCATCAATGTGTGTGTATGCACAGAAGAAAGGCCACATGAGGACTCAGCAAGAAGGCAGTGGTCTATGAGCCAGGAAGGGAGGTCTCTCCAGAAACCAACCTTGATGGCCCCTCAGATCTTGGACTTTTAGTTTCCAGAAATGTGAGAAAATAAATTTCTGTTATTAAAGCTGCCCAGTGTGTGGTATTTTCTTAAGACAGTCCCAGCAGATTAAGACAGGGGAAAATCAGATTATACCAGAGAATTTCAATTTACTATTCTGAGTTTCACAGACAATTTT